AACACCCCAGTTCCACACATATCCACAACCTTAAGTCAATCCCTATTCAGCAAAAGATTTAAGCATATGTTTAAGCCAGGAAGTGGACGGTATGTTGGCACAGGCCTTAGAAGGCCATGGTTCTAGGCTTCTCTGTTACTAGGTGATCTTGGACACATCTCTGCAAGTCACTGGGCTTCTGTTGTCCCATCTGTAAAATGGGGATTATGGTAATGACCTCCTTAGTAAATGCTTTGAGACTGACTGAGGTAAAATACTATGTAAGAACTAGGCATTATTATTAAAATTAAGTAAGTGCTCAACTGCCTAACTGAATTGCCTATGCTGAAGCTAGTTTATCCTCTGAGGTTGTATCTTCCTGCAGGACTAGACTTTCTGTAGATTTGAGTTCCAGTACATTTGTAAGGGGGAAAAAATCTATTACATACTCCTCAGAAATCATTAACAATTAGACCATATTTCATAAGATCCAAAACTTTGAAAGAACCTTTGAAAATACACAAAAGATACAATCTCATATGGTTAAATACAGATCAAACTAAATTTGACAGTAAGAGCTCTAAGTTTTATCAGATACTCTGATTTAGAAATTTAATTTAATTTAATTTAATTTAACATCACAAGCTTGATGTGCTGGAAAATCAATCCCAGGACTCCAACCTGCAACTCTTGGATCTCTAAGAAGGTGCAGAGATAATCTCTAGCAATTTTGCTAACATTTGAAGAACTAACAGAGAAAAGCATCAAGTTTGCATTAACTATAGAAAAGCCATTTTGCTTATCTCCCTCTTGTATCGTCATGTGACATGAAGCAAGGGAAATATGTAGAATGATATTGCTTTCTATTCTTCTGTGAAGGAAAAAAAATGATCAAGGTCATAGACTTTTTATTTCCCGGATGTTTCTATGGAAACACAAGTGAGAAGCTTAAGGTTTCAATCATTGAAAGATTTCAGTATATTTAGACAAGAGATACCATAGCTATATTTTATTTTAAAATATATGTTTAACATATATTAAACATGCCATGTTATGTTAGCTATGTTAAACTCCAAGTAATCTACTACTACAAGAAGTAGATGTTTCTAGACTATGATGAATCTTGGTGGGGTGAGGGGTTGATTGTTTTTATTTATTTATGATTATTATCTTACTTTACATTCAATGATAGCTACTAATGAGCATGAGTTCATTCAACACTTATATTTTCCTGAATTTTCATTAGCATATATCCTAAGCATTAATTGAAGGCTTTTCTTCACCCTATTTGTGTATGGAATATTGTCATAGATTTTAATATATTCAATACAGATGTCACGGATTTAGGAATTTATTTTTCCCTTCATGGCCAATAAATAAGGTTATGTTTTAGTCACGGGTATTTTTAGTGATAGTCATGGACAGGTCCTGGGCAGTAAACAACAATTATCTGTCCATGAATTGTACTCTATATCCCTAAATCCTGAGGGGAAGGCTAAGGGCGGTACCCAAGGGGGCACTACATGTGCTGAGGGGGAGCTGTGACGTGCGGACTGGACCCCTATTGGTGCTAGGGGAGGAGAAGGGTTGGCACCGCCAGCAGGCTCACTGAAACAGCAACATTTCTCACCTCATAGGCAGAGATGCACCCTTCACGTGCTGTCTCCACCCTGAGCGCTGTCTCCGCAACTCCTATTGGCCAGGAACCACAGCCAATGGGCACTCTGAGGGCAGACCCAGTCGGAGGAGCCACCTGGCTACACCTCCTCCAAGGAGCTGAGGGACATGTCACCGCTTTCCCCCCAGGTAAAAACTCCACCCTGTCATCTCCTTCTGCACCCCAAACCATGCCTGAGCCCCCTGCCATCCATACACCTGCTTCTGCTAGGAGAGAGACAGAGAGGAGCATGGTGCACTGAAACTACTCCAGCAGCGGCCAGCATGGCTGGGCCAGAGGCCTCCAGCACCAGCCACTGCAAAAGTCACAGAGGTCCCAGAAAGTCACGGAATCCAAGACTTCTGTGACAAACTGGTAAATAAAGAGTTGTGAGAGTTTTATTTCCCTTTGCAGTATATAGTCTGTTTCATTGAAGAATAATTCTTTTGAATATTTTTTAAACTGATTGCTTAACTGATTTCTTGCTTCTGATGCACTTAAACAACAATGGTTCTGTAGCACCTTAGAGACTAACAAAAATATACATAGGGCACCCCCATTATAAGTCACCCCAGTATACATATGTTCCACACTGAAGTCATTGACTCTTGTAGGAACTGATGTTTTATAAGTCCTCCCATTCTCTACTCTGAATTCACACACACAAAAACAAGGGGGGGGGTAGGGGGGAAGAGAGAATTCCCTGCTTTAAGCTGTTTTGCTGTAAGTCCAAGGTTGTTTGTTTTTTGTTTTTGTTTTAAACTGACATAAGAATGGCCATACTGGGTCAGACCAAAAGTCCATCTAGCCCAGTATCCTATCTGAGCAAGGGTGGCCTGTAAACAATATCATGAGCTTTCATGGGCATAGCTTTTTCAGATGACATCAGTGGCCAGGAAGCTCATGATACTGTTTATGTATTTTGTTAGTCTCTAAGGTGCTTTAGGACCATTGTTGGTTTTAGGTAAAGACAAACACAGCTACCCCTGGGAGACTTTTAAACATTGAAATTGAGCCTCTGTTTTAATCTTCCCCAGCACCTCCCTGCTATTTCCTTTTCCCTGTTGTTAGCGCGGGTCCTGTCCCCGCAGCCCAGCAACACCCCCCTGCCCTGCCTGTCACCCCCAAGCAAACACACCCCACGCGCGCGTGACTATTCGCTC